GGACCAGATTTAACTTTTTTAGATTTTTCTACCTGGATTATTGAGCATGCATCAGGATGGTTTAATTTGATGTTTCCTGCTGCACATTTGACATCATAATCAGAAATTACTAAAAAAATTCAATTGATAAAAGTATTTTACGTTTCACATATCATCTTGGGGGCCAGATAAGATGTTAACAAGGACAACATTTGTCCCCCAGGCCTACAGTTTGACACATGTGCTACAGATTAATGCTTTAACATTAAACTGGAGCCAAGATTATGTAAAAAAAAAAGAAAAAAAGATCAGAGTTTCATTTAAATGAGCTGAAACTAAATACAATCCTCTCTGCTGCTGCTGTGGAGTCTGGTTTCCCAACTTACCGGAGCATCAGAGAACGCCTGGTTCAGGATGCCGTCATTAACCAGTTTCTTATAGATGTAGCTCGCTGCCTGACACATGCCCTGCAGGAGACACACTGTTAGCAAACACACACGTTCACACACATGCTGGAAGCCTCGACAGAGACAGGTTAGGAGTGAGGGAGTCTCACCTTGTGAGCGTAGCAGGCTCCAGTCACGCCCTCTACGAGCAGGTTCTCACAATCGGCAGACAAATCTGTCAGAGCGTCCTGCGGGATTCACATTACGACACAGAATGAATTGTGAGCATCATCACTCTCATTTTAAACTCTAACAGGTGAAGGTTTTACCGAAGTGGTCTGAAAAAGCACATTAAGCATGAAAATTCATTTATCTTATGGAAAAACAAAGAGAACGTTTAAATATCAACATGGTTATATTTCACTTTCACATCTTCTATGTGAGAAAATGATTCACAATCATACCTACACACATTGTTTTATTTCTTCTATGACTTTAAGTTTACTCATGGAGTCACATGATATCAGACAGTACATCTGATGCTGTATTTATCTGTTCTTTCACTAACACAGCAGTCAGTCATCCAGTATAAAAGGAAGTGATTCTGAACAGTGCGAAGACAAGAAAGGAGCCAAGAGCTATAAATGTACAACAGATGTACAAAAATAGAGGAAATGTTTGTGTTTAAAATGCCTGTGGAGCACTGGGAGTCAAATCTGACACTATAATGGCTTTAAATGTATTTTTTAACTTTCACTGTGCCTGGTCTACCCCAAAAGTGGAGAAAAAAAGTGTGATAATCAAAATTTTATTTACAAGAAAATTTATCTTTTTAAATTTAAATTATCTACAAAATTTTGTAGTGGGTCATACAAAAATTGTTTCACAAATATTTACACCACTATTACCGGTAATTTCTCAAAATACAGATAATGACATCGATTTTTTGTTATATGGGTGACACACTAATGTGTAATCACATTAAGTACAGAGCTTTAGAATGTGATGTCACTGTGTCTGCGGCGTGGTGGCTGATGGGATAGGATCACCATCTTAGGGGTGGGCAATACGGCTCAAATATAATATTGTGATATTTCAGAGCATTCTGACGATAATGATAAATTTCGTGATATAACACAAAACCCCCCCAGAAATTATAGTTATTCATTTGACAAAATTAACTTAACATGTTGCTTTGCAGTATTACTGTATATAAAAACAAACAAACAAACAAAAACAAGGGTAAATTTTACTGAAATGACTTTATTTAATAAAGTATTCAGTCTCAAAGTATAAAAACAAAAAATAAAAATGATAGATTGAAAAAGTCTGCACAAAATATAGATCAACAAAATCTACCACAAAAACTAAAGTGCAGGTGCAGTTTCCCAAATAAACGAAATAAAATGAAGCTGAAGATCTGTTGAGTATAAATGTAACATACAACAAAATATATGTTGCCTTTAAAGAGCTATATTTTCCAGAGCTTGTAACAAGGTGATCAGCTGACCCTAAAGCTTGTGGTGTTTCAGCTTCCTCTGTTCCTTCAGGAATGATTCATTTCTCTGATGCGCTGTCTTTTATCACCTGACTCTGTTCTTGGTCCATGGACTGTGGAACTCAAGAGACACAGCTGACCTGCGTGTATTTGTACTGGTAGTTTAGAGCGGGGGGAGACCCAGCCGAGCTGCGCCCGTACCGGCAGCCTAGAGGGGGTTTGGGGGAGAGAAAAAAGCCGAGCTGCGCTGGTGGTGGTGGGGGGGGCAGTTGAGCTGTCACTGTGTACTCGTAGTTTAGAGCTGGATGGAGAAACGCAGCTGAGCCACGCGTTGTTTTTTTTAGCATTTTAGCTAGCTAGTATTGCGCGCAGCTAATTAGTGTTATGCCAGTACCAACAGGTGGATGGGGGAATGCGCAATTCGGTTCAGTAGTTTGGCGCGCTCGGTTCCGTTAACGGTGTGGAGCAAACACTGACGTACTTATGTCATGAGATTTGCATGTCATGATATCATTTATTTTCCCGGGCAAGCGTTTTTTTACGGGTATTATCGTGAACGATATGATATGGCCCAGCCCTACACAATCTTTACTGTCCTCGAAAATAAAGATTTCTCGCTGATTGTTTTTTTAATCTACGTAGGTTAAAACAATTTAGCAATGGTCCGAACTCAAGGCCGGATTAACCATATGGGCAACTGCCCAGGGGCCCATGATCTCTAAGGGGCCCAGGGCAGTGAGGGCACAAGCAAAATATCTGGTTATCTCCTGCTTTACTTGGAGCTCTGCGCTGCATTTGGGCAGCCCCGCCTCCTCCCAGTGCGGCTGCTGCAGCTCTCGGTTTTTTGTTTTTTCAATAGGATCCTCGACGGCGTGACCTGTCAATCAACTCAGAAGGCGTGTCAGTAACTGATCAATCGACAACCTCAATTTGTCCTGAAAGTAAACGCCCCTTACCTGCTGACAAGCTCATCAGGTTTTTTTTTCTTGAGAAACATTGTTTTAATTAAAACAATAAGTTTGTATCTGTTGTGAGATGATTTTAGCAGTTTTGCAGATTTTTAATGTACTTAATGAAGAACAGTTTGACTTAAAATCGTTCATCAAACAGGAAGGAGGACTTATTATCTCTCCTCATACTACAGTGGTGAATGTGGTACTTTGCTATAGTATGGCATCAGAGAAAGCTGAGCTTAAGTTATCCACATAAAGTAAAATGATATCAGCATGAAAAGAAGGAATTTTAAGTTTGAGATTAATCCTGTTACTGATGTCTGACCAAACACTTTGTACTGACATAAAAAAAAACTTGCTCGAGGGATTCATCTTCTGATTTACAAAAGGCACAAATCAACATCAAATTTAAGTATTCTTTGCAGAAACATGGCTACAGGATATGTCTTATTTATCATTTTAAAACGATTCTCCTTCACTTTAGGAGATATAGCCCATTTGACAAATTTAGAATGAGCAGAAATCATTCTGGTTTTATGATTTATACTGGGATGTTTCTTGAAGGAATCTTTGTTATAATCAGTAAATCCTTTGTCACAAACATTCATTGATAATTTTATTTCATTTGAAGTCAACTAAGTTACAGATATTTAATTTTAATTTAGGCATCAAATCATCACCTTTGAATATATAATATTTTTAATTAATTGAATCAGCTGTTGGTCAGGTTACTTCTTGTTGTGCCATTAGCTCTAAAACAGTTACTGTATCAAGTGTTTACTTCCATCCATCCACAGGAGTAGCAGCCTAAGTGGGGAGGTCCAGACTTCCCTCTCCCCAGCTACTTGGACCAGCTCCTCCAGGAGAATCCCAAGGCGTTTCAAGTGTTTGCTTTGTAGGTAAAACTTGTTAGGATTACACGGGGAACCCAGATAGTATGAGACCCAGAACGAGGCAGACACAAGGGAAATACAAAAGAACAGTGTTTATTATGTACAGTGAATGTTTCACACGCTGGAACTCTGCACTCCTGGAAAGAGGGACGACAGGTTAGTGTTGGTCCAAGGGGAAGACCTGAGTGGTTGTCTGAAGGAGGTTCTTGTCCTTACAGTCCAAACCCGAAGGAGGGGAGCTGGTCCTTCAGTCCAGGGAGAGAGTAGCAGAGGGGAATCCAACGAGGGTCCAAGGGAACGAGGAAGGCTGGCAACTGGAGGCAAAAATGGCACGAGGAATACCTGACAGGCCGAGGGATCCAGGTCAGGTCACGAGGAGAATCCAAAAACACAAGGAACCAGGAAACTGGAAAAGAGAACACAGGTGAACAAATTATTTTCACCTAGACATATCTAGCTCAACAGTACTATACCATGAGAGGTGATATGCTCCAGCGATGAGTCACACTGGGCTGCAGCCTTTTGTAGATGGAGAGGCTCATCAGGCTGATGGCCGCCAGGTGTTGGTAATCAGCGGCCATCAGCAAGGCAGGCTGCAGGCAGTGGGACCCTTACAGTACCCCCCCTCAAGAATCGCCTCCAAGCGACCTGAGGCGCTTCTCGGGGTGGTCTCTGAAAAACCTGGAGATGAGGCTGGGGTCGAGGATGAAAGACCTGGGGATCCATGACCTCTCCTCAGGACCGTACCCCTCCCAATCGACCAGGTACTGGAAACCCCTACCCCTGTGTCGCACGTCCAGGATGGATCGGACGGTGAACGCAGGGTGGTTGTCGATCAGGCGGGGCGGCGGAGGGAGGTCAGAAGGGGGACACAAGGGACTGAGGGAAACGGGCTTCACCTGGGACACATGAAAGGTCGGGTGAATCCTCATGGCCCTGGGGAGTTGGAGGCGGACCGCATAGGGATTAATGATGCGGGTAATGGGGAAGGGACCAATGAAGCGGGGGGCCAGTTTACGGGGGGTGTCCCGCAGTTTAATGTCCCTGGTGGACAACCAAACCTGCTGGCCGACCTGGTAGGCGGGTGTCTCTGAACGGTGGCGGTCAGCGAACCATTTAGCCTGGGCTGCGGTCCTAAGGAGGGCCACCTTGGCCTGGCGCCAGATGCGACGACACCGCCGAAAGTGGTGCTGCACGGATGGGACCGAGCAGTCGGACTCAGAGCTGGGAAAAAGAGGAGGGAGGTAACCGAGGGAAGCTTCGAAGGGAGACATACCAGTGGCAGAGGAACGGAGAGAGTTGTGGGCGTATTCCACCCAAACCAAGTGTTGGCTCCAGGATGACGGATTGGACTCGACCAGGCAACGCAGGGTGGACTCCAACTCCTGATTGTAGCGCTCAGCTTGTCCGTTAGCCTGAGGATGATAGCCGGAGGTAAGGCTAACGGACGCCCCGAGCGACTTGCAAAAGGAGTGCCAGACCTGGGAGATGAACTGCGGGCCTCGGTCGAAGACGATATCCGAAGGAATCCCATGGAGCCTGAAAACATGGAGGGTGAGAAGGTGAGCGGTTTCAAGGGCAGAGGGGAGCTTAGGGAGGGGGACAAAGTGAGCGGCCTTGGAAAAACGGTCAACAACCGTGAGGATGGTGGTGTTGCCGTCAGATGGGGGAAGACCGGTCACAAAATCGAGGGCGATGTGGGACCAAGGGCGACTAGAGGTCAGGAGGGGAAGCAGAGGGCCAGCCGGAGGTTGTGTACCAGACTTGTTTCTGGCGCAGACGGGACAGGCCGAAACAAAGTTCTTGATGTCTCTGGACATGGAGGACCACCAGAAATGAGTTTTTGTGAGGGCGAGCATGCGGTTGACTCCAGGGTGGCAGGAAAGATTGTTCGAGTGGAGCCA